GGTGTTCCCATGGCAACCTACCTCCCAGTACCTCCATCACCAATTTAGGATTTTTTGCAGAATTTCAGTTACCTGCCTTCCCCACCACTTCACAGTCCTTTTTGACCCCAGGCCCCCTTTATCTGCTGTTCTTAAAATTCCCAGTTCCTCCTCTGTGAGGAGGAAGAGCTGCCTTGTCCTGAGGCCTTTAAACCAGGTCTCTCCTCACATGGCTTGTGCAAAATAAAAGTACACCCTGGGCAACCTGCCACACTCTCTGCAAATGCCCCAAACCATCACCCTCATCCCATCTTATCCCCTCTGCCTCTCCCAGGCCTGTGTTTACCTAGTTCCTCCCCTTCTCACTTTATCTCCCAGTGGAAGGCGTGTTCTCACCTCTTTTTGATTGCATGATGCATACGGTATTGCCCTCCTACTTTCTCTCCTGGGCATGGTTTCCATGCACCCTTTGCATCTTGCCATTCGCCCCACCCTCGTAAGCCTTGGTCTGCCCACTTCCAGGCCTGTGCCAGCACCCACAAAGGAGAAACTCAAAAACCAAAGAAACATTCGATCCATGAGCTCCAGGAAGATCAAGGCGGACCCGGGCAAAATCAATAAAATATATATATTTTTTAAAAGTACACCCTGGGCAACCCGCCACATTCTCTGCAAATGCCCCAAACCATCACCCTCATCTCACCTTATCTCCCTCTGCCTCTCCCAGGCCTGTGTTTACCTAGTTCCTCCCCTTCCCACTTTATCTCCCAGTGGAAGGCGTGTTCTCACCTCTTTTTGATTGCATGATGCCTACGGTATTGCCCTCCTACTTTCACTCCTGGGCATGGTTTCCATGCACCCTTTGCATCTTGCCATTCGCCCCACCCTCGTAAGCCTTGGTCTGCCCACTTCCAGGCCTGTGCCAGCACCCACAAAGGAGAAACTCAAAAACCAAAGAAACATTCGATCCATGAGCTCCAGGAAGATCAAGGCGGACCCGGGCAAGATCGGAGCAGGTGGACTTCTAGCTAAAGCCCACACAATCCCAGGAGGAGCCCAGGGGGGACTGACCTCTGGGTGGTGGGGTACAGCTCCACGGTGACCACGTCCAGAGCGTTCCAGGCCGCGATGCTGGCCCCGCAGAACAGGCACTGCCAGCCGATCATCGCCGACTCGCTGTTGCCGAAGAACAGGAAGAAGCAACAGCCCGCCGAGATCAGCATGGAGCCACCTGTGGAGGGAGTGAGGGCAGAAGCCCAAAGAAACGTGAAGCCTGTGGCTCGGACGAAAAGGTTACCCACACCTGTTGCCCCATCTCCCACCCTCACAGGTACACTGCAAGTAACAGGCTACCTCCAGTAAAAGGCCCATCTGGCCCAACCGGTGTGGCTCAGTGGTCGACCTATGAACCAGGAGGTCGCAGGTTCGATTCCTGGTCAGGGCACATGCCTGGGTTGCAGGCTCAGTCTCCAGTAGGGGGTGTGCAAGAAGCATTCGATCAATGATTCTCTCTCATCACTGATGTTCCTCTCCCTCCTCCCTCTCCCTTCCTCTCTGAAGCCAATTTTGCTCGCTCAGTGGTGACAGCATCGGCCACTGAGGTTCGATTTCAGGTCAAGGGCACGTATCTCTGTTGCAGGTTCAATCCCTGGCCCTGGTTGGGACACAAGTAGAGGCAACCCACTGATGTGTCTCTCTTACATCAATATTTCTCTCTCTCTCTCTCTCTCTCTCTCTCTCCTCCCACTGCCTCCCTTCTACCCTCTCTAAAAGGAAAAAAAAAAAAAGAGCATTTTACATATTTTTCTGACAACATTACAGAGGATGCAGAGTGGGTATATTTAACATCCCTACTGAAGTGCTAATAAAATAAGTGATTGTCACAGAATTGCTCAGTCAGGAAATGGAGACGAGACTTGGCCATGGAAATGGAGCCTGGACATGGGTCCTGTCGCCAGTCAGCCTAAGGGAAGAACTTGGAAACTGTCACTCCGGGTGTCGCCACAGCCCCGGACAACTGGGGACCAGGCAGAGGTCAGTGAGTGAACAGTCTGTTATATGCCAGGCCTTCTTCTGGATGCTTAAGATACATCACTATCAAAAAGCCCTTCTCGGATGAATGGGGCTCTGTGATATTCACAGGGCTGAATATCTGCATTTTGTTGCCTACTGCTGACTCAATGGCCTAAAGCAAACTCCCCCAACCTGATAATCTTTTTTTCTTTTCTTTTTTTAATTTTATTTTTTTATTGCTTAAAGTATTACAAAGGGTATTACATATGTATCCTTTTTTTCCCCCCGCCCTTGACAGTCCCCTAGCCTCCCCTATCCCCCAGTGTCTTATGTCCATTGGTTATGCTTATACAGGGCTGAATATCTACATTTTATTACCTACTGCTGACTCAGTGGCCTAAAGCAGACTCCCCCACCTGATACTAAACATCACCTTTGATATGTCTATTTGCATTCCTAATAGGCAATTGTGTATTCTAGTAAATAAAAAGAGATGGGAGCAGAGACTCAGTGGAGCTTGGTCCCTTGTACCAAGCTCACAACTGGCTTCCCCCATAATTTCCAAATTTAAAAAAAAAAAATCCCTTCTCCTGGAACTTACATTCTAGTGAGAACACACCTGTGAATGGGCTACAGAAGGGAACCCCGCTTATGCTGCATTTAAGCCCCTCCCATTCCCAGTCACGGGACTAGAGGTGTCAGACCAGGGACTAGAGGTGTCAGACCACCTACACGGGGCCCTGGGATTTTGCCGACGTGCCTGCCTGCCTCCACACCGGCAGGTTCCATCTTACCTGTGTGGTTTCCTGTGCAAGATTTCTTTAAGAAAAATGAAAAAAAAAATGCCACTGTACACCTTATGTCTCGGCCTTGGCCCTGACAACTCACCGATCATCTTGAGCCTCCCGATCCTATCCATGAGCAGGGCGGAGATGATATTCCCCGGCAAGACGGACTGGGCAGCCTGCACCAGCCTCTGGCCATCACACAGTTTCAAAGTCAAGGTGGCGCTCGCCAAGGTGTGGATGAAGCAAAAATCCTCTACACGTGCAATGACCTGCTCAACTCCGATCGGGAGGGAAAAGGAAAGGAGCATTCACTGAGAGGCTTGTGTAAATACATCATCTCTCAAGCACAGAGCCGTCCTCTGAGGCTCCCTGCTTATAAAAGCCAAGGACGAAAGAACTTGATCCAGTGAGGCGGCCACCCCAGGGCCCATAGAGAAACCTGAACTTTCTACAAAATAAAGATAATTTGGTTAGTAGTTTGTTTTTTGTTTTTTGTTTTTTTGGGGGGAGGGGGAGTGCAGGGGCCAGAGCAGGGGAGATGAATGGGAGAGCACAGAGGGTTTTTAGGGTTGGCAGGAATCCTCCTGTTAAGAATATGCAAACATCGCCCTGCTGGTGTTGCTCAGTTGTTAAGAGCGTTGGCCTAAGCAGGGAAAGGTCGCAGGTTCGGTTCCCAGTCAAGGGCACGCACATACCTGGGTTCCACCCCAAGCCCCAGTCGGGGCACATGTGGGAGACAACCAATGGACGGACGTGTGAAAAGGTATGCCACATTTTTATCACAAATAAGAATGCAGAGAACTCATTATTTCACATGTGATAAGACGGATGCAGATCCATGAAATGCTTTGGTAAAGACTGTGCAACTCGCCTGCGCCGTCCCTGGGGCGGGAACCACTTCTCCACCCTCAGGCTCAGCATGGGTATCTGTGCTGTATTTACTGCTCCTAAAGCTTATGACCATTTTGGTTCTTAGACAAGACTAGTCCACCCCCATGACAATCTCCCCACTCTGCCCCGGTTCTTACCTGTGTTATAAAAGACGGTGGATTCGATGGTGCAGTTTTTGAAATAGGTATCCGTGGACGTAACATCTTCAAAATAGCACTCATCAAAGAACGTGTCTTCAAAGAGAACATGCTTGAAATACATCTTTGTGAACCTGTGGAAAGACATTTGTTCCTGAGAGATCCACCAGGGGGACAGGAGATTTGAGAGCGAAATGAAAACCACAGGAAGGCATAAAAAGGGAGAACTACAAACCAAAAGCTACTGAAAGGTGATTTTCAGCCCAAACTAGTTCCCCCCACTTGTGTGTGTGTGTGTGTGTGTGTGTGTGTGTGTGTGTGTGTGTTTTGTTAATCCTTGCCTAAGGATTTTTCCACTAATTTTTAGAGAGAGTGGAAGAGAGAGGGACAGAGAGGAACATCGGTGTGAGAGAAACACATTGACTGGTTGCCTCCTGCACACACCCCGACCAGGGCCTGGGCTGGGGAGGAGCCTGCAACCAAAAGGTGCCCTTGACCAGAATTGAACCTGGGACCCTTTGGTCCACAGGCCAACACTCTATCCACTGAGCCACACCATCTAGGGCTAGTTGCCCCTTTCATAGCTGCTGGTTTATAGATGAGGGAAGCTCAGGAGGGTGGAAGCTGGTGTCTAGTGCAGGGACCTATGGGGCTACCCCATCAGCCTGATGGTTCTCAAGTGCAGGCCCCTGGAGCGTCCACATTGGACTCATAGAAATGTGAACCATGCGAAATGAAAATAGTGGTAGCACCTCACTTTATGGAGCTTTCAAAACTTGCAGGTCCCTCAGCTGGTCTTAGTAGGTTTAAAAACAAGAGATTTAAGGCCTGGTCGATTTGGGCTCAGTGGATAGACCATCAGCCCATGGACTGAAGGGTTGCGGGTTCGATTCCAGTCAAGGGAATGTACCTGGTTGCAGGCTCGATCTCCCGTGTGGAAGACAACAAATCGATGTCTCTCTCACGTCGATGTTTCTCTCTCTGTCTCTCCCTCTCCCTTCCACTCTCTCTAAAAAAAATTCAAAGGAAAAATCTCCTCCAATGAAGATTAACAACAACAACAAAAACAAACAAACAAGAGACTTGTAAGAATCTTCATTTTTTTAAATTGTCCCAACAAAGATGTGGGGAAACAGGCAGTTTCACTCACATTGTTAATAGAATATAATTGGTGCAGCCTATTTGAAAAGCAGTTTTGCAACATTTTTAGTGCAGAATCCCTCTGTCCTAGGAAAAACCACCTGTACAAATGAATACTACATGCACTTACGCAAGCGTTCAGAGAGATACATTTGCTGCCTGGCAGGTGTGACTCAGTGGTTGAGCATCGACCTACGAACCAGGAGGTCACGGTTCAATTCCCAGTCAGGGCACAGGCCTGGGTTTCGGGCTCAGTCCCCAGTAGTGTGTGTGTAGAAGGCAGCTGATCAATAATTCGCTCTCATTATTGATGTTTCTATCTCTTTCTCTCTCGTCTCCCTTCCTCTCTGAAATCAATAAAAATATATTTATTTTAAAACAAGGTGTGGGGTCTCAGGAAAGATGGTCTGATAGATGCTCATCAGTCAAATGCCTCCATCCTTGGATGGATCGGATACCACAGGTGATGAGGGATGACTGGGAACCAACATGACACAGGCAGGGCCTCCCCGGGACTTAGAGGGTCTCTGGCAGCCATGGGAAGTTGTGGGACCACAATATTCTTGGAGCTCATTCCCCGACCATGAATTCCTATCTGTCCAGTGGCTCTCTCCCAAGACCAGTCCCCTGGAAGATCAGCCAATCGAGGGACTGTCTGAGTCTCTCACTTACTTGTCATTCACAAGCTTGCCATGCTGGTGGATCTGATTTTCCATCGTGAAGTTGATGGTGGCACCAAACACGTGCTCGCCGAAAAATACCTTCATCTTGGACTTGTATTCTTCCTCTTGAAAGTACCGGATCATGTCGGGGAACCAAACCGTCAGGCCGTAGTAACTGGAGCAGAGAAGACACACTATGTGAGCAAATATTATTATCTCATGAGCAGAATCTTCAGCCCTGATTTGAGGTAGATAACACTCCTTTTAAATGTATTATTATCACTCATTAGTAGAAACTCTCATCCCAGCATGTCAAACTCAAAGGCTAACACGGGCCAAATCATGGAGGCATGTGGCCCGTGGACCACGAGTTTGACATGCTTGCTCTAATCAGATAACACATTGTAGTAATAGATCTAAGGGGAAAAATTCAATACCATCTCCATAGATGCGGAAAAGGCACTTGATGAAAAACAACATTCGTTCCTGATAAAAATACCAATAGGTTGGGACGAACGAAATGGACAGTCCAGCCCACTGGTTTGGCTCAGTGGATAGATCATAGGCCCGAAGCTTGAAGGGTCCTGGGTTCGGTTCTGATCAAGGACACATACCTCGGCTGGTTGCAGGCTCGATCCCCAGCCCCTGTTGGGGCGTATGTGGGAGGTAACCAATCGATGTGTCTCTCTCACATCGATGTTTCTCTCTGTCTCTCCCCCTTCCTTCCTCTCTCCATAACATGTAAGAAAATGCATTATCTCAGCTCAAAAAGGAGAGTTTCACTTAATGGGGAAACACTAAAGACATTCCCCCTAATGTCAGGAACAAGACTGGGACACCCATTATCACCACCACTATTGAACACTATAGCGTAGGTCTTCGCCTACCAGTTAGACAAGAGAAAGAACATAAAAATGTAAAAAAGCAAAAGGTAAAACAACTATGGGTAGACGATATGGTTTTATACCTGGAAAATTCAAAATAACCAACTCAAACAAATGGTTATGAGACATAAAAAACATACTCCATCCCACGCAGAATAAGAAAAATGCAAATTAAAAACATACTGTGTTACCATTCTCGCCTTCCAGATTGTCGAAACCTCAAAGATTGCCAAACACCCTGTCGGTGAGGCTGTGGGTAAACAGGTGGTCTCAGACATTGCTGAGTAAAGGATAACACTGCACACAATACCATATGGAGGACAATGGGTCAATGTCTCAAGAAATCACTGATGGTTTTCCCCTCTTTGACTCCGTAATCCCATTTCTAGGAATCTATTCCACTGACAGAGTTGCACAATACAACGTAGCCTCCAGACAGCGAGTCATTGTGGCAGTGTTTGCAACAGGAGAAGTCTGAAATCTCCCCCAAGAGTTGAGCAATGAACCCCTGGCTGGATACAGTGAGGTGCTTTTCTGTGGAGGGCTGTACGGAGTGAGGAAAACCTCCATTTACTGGTCTGAGAGATCTCCAGGATATATTGTGGAGTACCTGAAGCAGCTACAACAATGTATTCCTTTGAATAAGAAAATGTGCTGAAACCAGTTTGGCTCAGTGGATAGAGCGTTGGCCTGCGGACTGAAAGGTCCCAGGTTCGATTCCGGTCAGGGGCATGTATTGGGTTGCGGGCACATCCCCACTAGGAGATGTGCAGGAGGCAGCTGATCGATGTTTCTAACTCTCTATCTCTCTCCCTTCCTCTCCCTAAAAAATTAATAAAATATATTTTTTTAAAAAAGAAAAGAAAATGAGGAAGGCCCTGCTGGTGTGGCTCAGTGGTTGGGCATCAACCTATAAGCCAGGGGGTCATGGTTTGCCTGGGGCAGAAATTCCTCCTGTGGCCTGCCTCCCTATGGAATTTCGGTTACAAGAGTAAAAAATTTCATTAAAAGACGCTACTAGGGTACCTTGCCTGTGATTTGCGGCTGAAAGCATCCAGCCCTATTCAGACTCCATGAGTTAGAACTGATCACAATCATCAGTTCTGAGGCCCGTGAAGCTCAGAGAAATCAGCGAATTTAGTAAGGACTTACCTGAAGGCCATCGTGAACCAGACCACGGCCAGAACCAGCGTGTTCATCCTGTAAGGCCCCAGCAGGCAGTACTGAGCGTTATCCCAGACCTGAAACCCACACCAGACCACGGGGGTTAAAGGCAGGAACTGTGACTCAGCGCAACTCATTTCTAAGGCTTCCTCATGAACGGCCTAGGAAGCCATGGAGACAAGGGGCGACGTTATCCCCCGCGAGTGGCCATCCTGTTCCAAGGAAAGCCTTTTCTCTTCTTACTGTCTGGCCTCGACCTCTAACAGTCCCATAGCATCTTCCCTGGAAACACAACAGTATCCCATGCATGGGAGCAAAAGCACACTGAGTAGGCCCTGGCCAGTTTGCTCAGTGGTTAGAGCATTGGCCCGCAGACTGAAGATTCTCTGGTTCGATTCCGGTCAAGGACACCAGAATCCGTGGTGGCAGGCTCAATCCTTAGCCCCGGTCAGGGTGCATTTGAGAGGCAACCAATCGACGTTTCTCTCACATCAATGTTTCTCTCTCTGCCTTTCCCTCTCTCTTCCACTCTCTCTAAAAATCAATGGAAAAATATCCTCAGGTGAGGATTAATAAAAAAAAAAATGCACAGAGTGGGGATTTCAAGCACTGAATACGCTTGAGAGCTGAGTTCCACTCCCTGCCTGCAAGAATGGGTTGTTATTCCAAACATTAAAGGGCCCTGCACCTAGGGCACCAGTCTCAGCAGCCTGGCCATCAGCTGCCTCGGTGCTAAGCAGCTGGCTTGCCTGTAGGAGCCACTTTTCTGCAGAAATGGCCTGGCCCTTTATGAAGACTTTCTCAGACATCACTAGCAAACCTCGGGGGGCAGGTGGGGGTAGGGGGGCATTTATTTCACTCACTCCTTTCTTCTGATGGATTAAAGAGAAAATGCTAGAGAGAAGATGTTTACTCAGACGACACATTTTACCTACATTCAAAATCTCTGCCTTGGGGAGGGAGAGCAAAGAAAAGAAGCTAAGGTGTGAGAGAGGATGTGGCTCGCGGGCCC